TCTTACATACTAACGACTCCGGACAAGATGTATTCATCTAGGCTTCTGACAACATGTCCAGGTTTCGAAAACAAGACCGAGCATGTCTTCGGTAGCACCCTATCCCCTAGCCTCATTGTGCAAGCCCCCAAAGTCTAGTATTATGTTGCATGGGAAACTTATTTGACGCAGTAGACTTCCTCATCATTGTTAGGCATTCGCACCGGGTAAATCTCGTTGTCATGCCTTTACTTCACGCAAAGCGTGTACGATCAAACTCATCTACTAATAGCCGACTATCTACTTTTGTCTCATCCGCATTTTCCGCTCTTGTATCCTTAGTGACTTTTTTTTGACCAAGTCACTTTTGTGCCAAACCCAAAATGCAATGGTTATTCTACTTGTTTTACTAGACTTACTGTAGACATATCTTAGATTTCAGCTGTTCCTCTCTGGTCTCCTTGATACCTAAAATATTTCCTTCATCTATTTATCTTGCTGTTCCATGATCTCCGAGTTTGCTTAATCAATATCCAAAGTTTTCGCTAACCGTGTCTTCCTGTTCATAAGGTATCTTGCAGTCAGAATATAGGTCTTTTGGAATAACGACTTTCCTTATCCGCTCCGCCTCTTGATTATTTTGTCCTGTCATACTCTGTATTCTTTTCATTCTAACAACTTCCCTATTCCGTATCATTATAATCGCGCGCGTAAACAAACTATTTTGACAATATTTAGAAAAACTGGGTTTCGAAGAATTCGTTAATATATTTCTGTTGGAGCGCCTTTCATTTCGTTTGGAAAGGCAAGTGAAAGGTAAGTTGGTTCCATCAGGGGCTGTGGGGGGGTTGCCTTGGGGCTGTCATGTGACGGACACCGTCAGAGCAGTACACGATGTTTAACGTGAATTCACCAAAAACACGAAGGCGAGAATGGTGGCCGACTTCAAACCTACTTGCTTATACTCCAATTTGGTCCACTTAGACAGCTCATGTTTTGTTTATACATCCAATGCTTTGCCTCTATGTTTTCTCATAAGTTAAGTGGCCGCGGATGACATGTTAACTGGCTATAATGAAGCTGTTTAAATTGCACTTATTTCACGTTAAGAAAATATATAGGCAAAGCATAGGACATCTAACCAAATCATGAGCTGCCTACATGGACTAAATTAAAATATAGGAAGGAAGTGGGTTTGAAGCCGGCCACCATTCTTGCCTTCGTGTTTTTGTAAATTATCTTTAACCATGGGGACCTGCTCAGACGACGTCAGGCGGATGAAAGCTCAGCAAGGATTGATTAGGGTCGCTTTGGAAATACAATGAATGTGATTAACGATGGTAGACAGTTGAGTAGGAACTGCGTATGCTTGATTGATAGATTGAAAGAGAGAGGATGTTAAGCCGCCGTGACTCAATCTGCTCAGTGATGGTTCTAATTTCACTCACATTCGTCCAAAATGTTAGAGTAAGCTCATCAACCAAGCCACACGTCAGACTACCCAACCTCAGTCTTGCCTTTCCTTGGAGGGTTAAACTTAATGATCCTAGTCTGAAAGGCTAGTTCAAGTGGTTTGGTAACTTGATTTTCATGCTTACAAACTCATATATCATTATCTCAACGATACTTGGTTACGGACCTACGCAGTCAGTTAAGGTTTTCTCTTGGGTCATTAGGTCTTGATGATCAGAAGCTGAGAATAAATCTTTGACAGCTATGATTTAGGAACTGTATTGCACATAGACGCAAATATTCACAAATACACATACTCATGCAATCGAGCAAAAATAACAGGACCAGCATGAAAGAAAATAAACCAAACCACTCTAGATCGAGCTATCTAGGTTTTTAATTTTCATTTGGCTCAATTGAGTCTATATAATAAGTAAGATAGAGCTGGATAGTCTTGGCCTAGTGTTAACGTCAGACCCTTACAATAATGAAACCTAGCTCTCATTATGTCCATCACATGGTGGACGAAAGCTCAGCACGTGATAACATGGCGTGACAGCTTCAAGCCATCTTAGACCTTTTTATTTCCATAAACAGACTTGTAAGAACTTTCATTGGATTGTCCCAACACATTGCATAAGAACTTCAATCATCCTAAGTAGCATAAGGTAACGTAATTGAAGTTATAAAGACCAAAATGGTGTGGCCTTTTGTATGTTCGTGGTCTCATTTTATTGCATAGTCGTTTTACTTTGTTTTCGCAACTTGATCATAATGGAAGGAAGGCATAGAGCAACGCATCTCGTTTACAGTCAGTGTAGACGATAATTTCCAGTCTCTAATGAGTTGTAGTGCTACGAGTAGCAAGACTTAGTGACGATGCTAGCGAAACGTCTGTGAATGTAACAAGTTATCGGTCCGACTCTGGAAATTATCCTGCATACTATGGGCTCAGGACAAAGTCCCTCGTAGGTCTTCTTGCCAATATGACCAAGTTGTGAAAACAAGGCCAAGCAACCATTATAAGTTAGAGTAGTTGAATTTTCCCATATTGGACAACGGTTAGAATTTGCGTGACCAGTTTTAATAAATGAATGCAACTAACTTGCTTTGCCATCAATTTCCATCATTCCTTAAAGAATAGAAAATAAACACAGTAATCAGTCCAAGCAAAAATTTGGACTTATCAGTCAATGCAAAGTGTTTTGTCTGTTTATATGTACACAAAATATTCCCAGACCGGGCGTATAGTGGGCAAAGCACTAGTTAAATTAGATAAACACACTGAACAGATAAATGGTAAGAGGCAGACTCAATCGTCATAATAAATGTAATTGTTGGCAGCATGCAAGAGTAGACGCGAGATCTGGATATAATATTGCGCTTAGGTACTGTTTTAGCTAATAACTGTGGCTACGTTATTGGTTGGATTTATCTGAAAACTGTCTCGAAGTTATTTGCTAGATATGGAAGACTACTTTAATGTTTGAAAAACCGACATATAGATTAAGAAAGTTTATTGAACGAATGAACAGACTAGGCGGGATTACTGAATTTAATATGGGGTTAGAAATGGAAGCTAGGCTATTATTTTTAGGCATTTTTACTAAAAAATGGTGATACTGTGGTTATTAGGGGAAAAATACACGACTTTGTTTCCTGGTACTGCGGGCATCGGCTATCGGGCAAGTGGTCATCAAAGGAATGTATCAACATAGCGCAACACTTTCATCAGCAATAATTTCATCAAAATTTTCGGGCCCCCGACCAGGGTGCGCATGATCAATGTAGTGGTGTCTGATTTCTCATCGTAAAGCGATGCTCGTGGGTCAAAAAATACAAGCCAGCTGAACATTGTGATAGATGGAGGTTGTTTGACCTTGTTTTCGCAACATGGTCAACCATGTTGCGAAAACAAGGCCAAACAACCTCTATACAACGAAAGGAGACTGCGACCACACAAAAGGCCACACCATCTTAGTCTTCATACCTTCGATTGTGATAGATGGCCTAAAACCAAGTTTTACAAGCCGGGTGAAATACAAGGAACGAAGATAGGAAAATTAACGTGAAACATTTGTGGTTGTCGGATGAATAGTACATGAATAATCCCCGACAAGAGGCTTAAATAGCCTCGAGCATAGTTAGGACTCTGACAAGCGAATATTCGAACGTGGCATACACACAAGATAACGACACACGCTATACTACAAGCGTATTTACTTAGGGAAATGTCACATCCACATCCCCCTAGATGGAGATATGTGATCAGATTTAAGTGAATGCACTTGCATGATTTAGTTCATCTTTCGTAAACAATGATTCCTCGCTTTGACAATGCCTGTGACCTAAGACTAAAGCAGAGCCTAGCCAAGGCCGCATGACTGCAAACGGAGGACTTCGCCTAATTCAATAGACTTGATCCTTACTGATTTACTTTACTCACATAAGATAAATGAGACTATACAAGAGCCGGATATTATTCTTGTCTTAGATTAAATGCCTAAGGCGAATTCATTTTGGTCTCCAAAGTTGATTAAACGAGATCAGACCACGAAACAAGACCGCGATTATGTTTTGTAAATTCGTGAGCTTACTTCCATTGATAATAATATCACTTCAATGCAGATTTATGAATTAAAACCAATGAGGAAGGCAACTGCAAGACATAATAATGAATCATAAACATGTCTTAGAATTTCATTGAAGCTTACTAAATTCTTAATCACATCTTTAAACAAATTTACCACGATGATATAAAAATAATGGATATAACTCTGTTCAGCCATTTGGTTAGCAGTATAAATAGCACAATTTGGGATATCCAATAAATAAAATCTCTCTTATGAACCCAATAAAGTATATAAGCTAAACATTTTTACAAAATGTTCCTTTAATAGAGTAGTATCTACCCACATGTAGGCCTACTTTATAACCTTGCGTATTCGAACGTTCTAAATTTATATCCACATAGATAGACGTAGCTGTTAACGAAAAGCAAGACACAAATAGTAGGCTCATCTATCTCAGAAACGAGTGAAGAAAAACGACTTTCACGCTTAAAGCAAATTTAGAAGTGACATGCAAATGACTAGTAAAGATTGCCTAAAAACTTAAAATAAAAAGGGCACCAGTCAAAAAGTATCCTAATTTTAGAATTCACACGAAGAAAAACTAGCAAAATGTTATTCTGTTAGCGAAAAACCATCTAAAAAGATACAAGTGGCAAGCTCGCTTCGAAACAAGTATATAAAAATATGAATAGAGAATGCGACGAATAGGGCATGATAAAACCAGGATAGTGCCGTGGGAATCAACAAATCAGTTTAAGTTCGCAGGATGAAAAGGATGAGAAATGCTAAATTAAGTGACAAGTGTTGAAAAAGAGATTAGATTAAATGCCTAGTTTCATCATATGATGAAGTGGCGATTGACATTGCCTAACCGAGCTGAACAGGCTGATAGGAGCAGTTGGTCAACAGCGTTTGTTAGCCCAACAGCCGCCTGAGCGCATGAGAAAGGGAAAAAAGGGTAATAAAGTACAAGGAAATTAGTCTGTGCCAAAGCGATCAGTCAGAATCATCAGCCATGTCATCCTCTCCCAAATTCGCCTCTCCCTCTTCCTTAACACCTGAGAAACCGTGCTCATCTGGGCCTTCCACCTCTTCGTCCATTGGTGAAGGACTTCTGACCTGGTGAACATCGTAACGATTTTCAGTTGATTGCCCTACCAACGTAGGGGCTATGGAGGCCTCAATAGCAGGAAGCGCTGGTGGCTTTGAAGATTGATGATCGGCATCATGCTCGGCTGTTTGGGAATACAAATCTGAATAATCACCAGAAGTGTTGGCTTCAGCGACGGCGGCGGCAGCGGCGGCCATTATCTGCTGGACCTCACTGAACGCACGGTTTTGTGCAGCCAGCTCTTCCTTTAATTGACGTTTAGCCTTAAGCT